GGGCAATCCTACTTCCGTAGTGATACTGCCTCGGAAACCCAAGGAGGGGTCGCTATGAGTCAGGGCTGACTCGACGGCACATAACAACAACAACAACAGCCCTCCAGAGCAGTGAGTTTGAAGGCCTTGAAGTTTCTGGCAGAACCCACTGGAGATGGCCATATCCTACCTGATGACACTGTGAGGCGGGATAATGGGCAACCTATTCTCTCCCTTGCTAACTTTCTTGGAGAGCAGCTTAGACTCTTATCCTCAGGCAGATGAAGATTTAGCCCTGTCCCATCATAGCCTAAGACTTGAGTGCTCAGGAGCAGAGACTACATGGATAGGAACAACTTCACAGCCCAAGGGCATCTGGCTGAGGTTTATGGTAAAAGAATCCTAACCCTCTCTGAGCCTTGTTTTCCTCATTCACTAGTAGGGGTGGTGGTGAGCTAAATGGTCTGCTTGATCCCTTCCAGATCTGACAGCATATTAGGCTGTGGTCCATCCACAGTGGTGAGAGTGGTGAGACCACCTGGTCACCAACTGAGTGGACACACTCCAACAGGATCATTAACTAGGGAGGGGGGGTGAACAGGACATCCTTGAAGTTTGAGTGTGAACCTGAGTCTTGGCAAGAAGGCAGGAAATACCTTTTCCAGGTAGAATCAGGTGGGGATAGAGCCGTGATCTGTTTTCAGAAACGCTGAATCTCTGCTAGGCATGGAAGGGGCTGCTGCCAGAGGATTTGTGCAGGGGAGGAAGTTTCAAGCCCTAAATCTATGGGCCCTATAATCAGTGGAAGAGGTTAGGAGCGGTTTTTCCATAATGCAAGGAGTGTCTTGGGATTGGGTCGCCTCTTCATTCTCCTCATTAGAGGGAGGTGGGGGAGATTCCAGGCCCCGGTGACCAGTCACCGGCCTATCATGCCCTCCTGTAGGTGGCTCACTTTCTGGGCAGGGGAGGGACCAGGGTCAGTCCTCGTGGGGTGCCCGGAATTCGGGCATGCTCCAGGCCCGGGGTGGCGGCGGGGTGTCCCGTTCCACATCCTCCGAGATGGTCCGAATGTCGCTGGCGAACGGGGAGATGCGCGCGCGGGTCTTGAAAGTGGCCAGGCTGCCGCGGGGCCGCAGGCTCCACTGGCGGGTCAACCTGTGGGCTTCCTCCTCCTCCTTCATCCTCTCCAGGACTTCCTGCAGTACGGAGCGGAACAGCCGGGCCACCTCCTGCACCTCGGGCTCATGCTCTGCCACCAGTTGTCGAAACCTGGGATGGGAAGAGGAGAGGGTGAGTGGGGTCATACCGCTGGCAGAGCAGGCACGGCGTAGGGCGGGGTCTACCCCTGAGGAATTAGTTGTCTAGCGCAGTTTGCACCATCTAGGGGCCTAAATGGGTGTGTTGTTGTTGTTAATGTGCAGTCGAGTCGGACCCGACTCATAGCGACCCTTCCTTGGGTTTCCGTGGGAGTATCACTATGAAAGTAGATTGCCCCATCTTCCTTCCAAGGAGTGGCTGGTGGGTTTGAACCGCCAGCCTTCTGGTTAGCAGTAAAGAGCCTTAGGCACTACGATATCAGAGCTCAGATGGGTGTGTTAGCTACCTTTCTATGAGGTTTAATAACTCAACTAACATATGTAAAGACCCTGGTACTTACCTAAGGTTATCCATGTTGGAATGTCAATAAGAACTCACTGCAATTGCAGCCTCATTGACAACTACCTCTCTCCCACACTTTCCCTTCCAGTGATCAGAGCCCTCTTTCTGAAATGCGTATCTGATCTTGTGACCATCTTGCAATACTCCTGTTATAACTCCGGATCGCCTTCTGGCTGAGGTTGAGCTGTTTGGCTGGTTCTCTAGACCCTGGCCAGCTGATTCCTGCTACTCCCCAGAGGACTCATGTAGCAGTGACATGAGAGAGGAGATATGACAGGACAATCATTTGTGTGTATATTCCCAGCCTTCCTCTTCGTGTAAGGAGGTTTTAGTTTGCCAACTCAGATTTTCTCATCAGCATTACCACCCATGACTCACACCCACCCCTGGCCCCAGGGTGTTTCTGGAGCCAGATATATTTGCAGGGGGAAGCATGGATAGGAATAGAAAGGGGGAAGGCAGGGGCTTCCATGGTGTACAATCAGAAAAATAGGAGAAAGTAAGCCTTTTGTACTGAAGGAAGAAAAGGAGTGTAGATAGGACCAGAGAAGGAAGAGTTTTTAAGGGGAGTTTTAGAAGAAAAAAGAAAAAGGTTTAGGATAGCTGCATATGTTGGCTAAAGAATTGGTGAGGGAAAATGTTGGAAAACTCAAGGGGATTTCAACATGTTTTATTGTAGATTTGTATTCCTTTACCAGTGTTTGAGAAATGCAGGTAGAGAACTCAAAATATTTGAAATTAGTTTTGTTTGCTGTACTATGCTTCTGACTTCAGTGCCAACCTGACAGAGACTGGGCCATATGGATCACAGCTTCATTAGGGTAACGTGTATTTTAAAACATTATTATACCTGACCTCATGATCTGTCCTGGAGGAAGTGCAGCCAGAATGCTCCTTGGAAGCAAGAATGGCCAGACTTCGTCTCACCTATTTTGGTCATGTTGTAAGAAGGGACCATTCCCTGGAGAAGGATGTCATGCTTGGTAGGGTGGAGGGTCGACGAAAGAGGGGGAGGCCTTCAATGAGATGGATTGACACATTGGCTGCGATGATGGGCTCAAGTATAGCAGGGATTGTGGGGCTGGTGCGGGATCGAGCAGTGTTTCATTCTGCTGTGCATAGGGTCCCTATGAGTCGGAAACGACTCAACGGCACTTAACAACAACATAACAATACCTGACCTCTAAGTCCTTGCCCTAGGACTCTGAAATGTATGTAAACCAAAACCAAACTCACTGGCATCCAGTCGATTCCAACTGATAGCCACCCCCACTGGGTTTCCAAGGCTGTAAATCTTTATGGAAGCAGACTGCCTCATCTTTCTTCCACAGAGTGGAGCAGCTGGTGGGTTCACACCACTGACCTTTTGGTTAGCAGCGAAATGCCTTAATCACGACACCACCAGACTTACATATACATGCACATATACACACAAATTACACATGTTGTTGTTGTTATGTGCCATCGAATAGGACCAGACTCATTGCTACCCCTCCTTGGGTTTCCAAGGCACTATCACTACGGAAGTAGATTGCCCAATCTTCCTTCTGAGGAGCGGTTGGTGGGTTTGAATCACCAGTCTTCTGGTATATATATATGTGTGTGTATGTATGTATGAAGAGATTATCTGGGAAAACCTCCCCAAGAAGGTAACAATGAAGATGAACTGAATAAGGAAAAGAAGATAGCTATGTTAAGATCCAGGATAATAATATTCTAGGCAGGGAGAACAGAAGGCTCAAATGCCCTGGGTTCTCTTCCATCAAAACTCATGTGCCTCCAGGAACCACCTGTAAATCCCCAGCCCTGGCCTGGAGTTCCATGGCCTCTTTCAAATTCTTCCTACTACCTCACCCTACTAGGAACTTTGGTACCGTAGTGCCTAAGACACTTGACTGCTAACCAGAAGGCTGGAGGTTCAAACCCACCAGCCACTCCTTGAAAGGAAGGTTGGACAATCTACTTCCATAGTGATACTGCCACAGAAACCCAAGGAGGGGTCGCTATGAGTTGGTTCTGACTCGACAGCAAATAACAACAACCACCACCACCTTGCCCTTCTAACAGATAACTGGGCCGCGTAGGCTAGGTCATGCAGAGTTCTGGTGATCTTAGGCTGCTGCAGCCATGCTCCCTAGAGCTGTCCAGGCTGCAGCCCACTAACTTGTTCCATCCCAGTGCCAGGGATTACCTGAGGATGGCAGGTCCACAATAGGATGGGTGGATCTTGGCACAGACATCCTCCAGTTGCAGCCTTTCACCAGGGCTGAGGTTGTAGGTGGGCCGGGGCACGCTGGCCAACCAGCTGTAGTCCACACCAGTGCGGATCTTCCTGTTTGAGTTCCTGCGCTCCCGTTGCTGCCTCTCAGCCTCCCGCATCTGCCCTGCCAGCTCCATCATGAGTGTCTCCAGCACCATCTCAGCTGGGCTTTGGGATGACAGCCGTGGTGGGGCCTCATTCCAACGGAGCCAAGGAATGAGGGACATGGCCCCTCCAGGCCCTGCTGAGAAAAGGTGTAGAGTGTGTCATCACTTGGCTCCTCTGTCAGGATGGGGAATCAGGGAGGCCAAAGGGAAGGAAAGGAGAGCCTAGACCCAGGTTTAGGAGACCTGATCTGCTCATCCAGCTCACAGCTGGGTGACCTTGGGTAGCTTGGATATCCTCTGCAAGCAATCTTTGCTAATTCCATAAGACAAGATACGGTTGTTGTGAGAAACAGTAGTGAATAAACTTGATGCGGTGTAAGTACCACATAAAAGCTGCCATCTCAGGCATGTCCTCACTGCCAGTTTGAAGTGGGTTTATGCCCTTGACAACAGTGGGCTAAACTCTGAAGGAGCCCTTGAAGGTCCCTCATCTCTCTTTTCTGTGCTTTCTCCACATTCCAAGTGGCTCCCCTTCCAGACACTGAAGTTCTTTTTCCTGTCTTGGCCCTCCAGATGCAGAGAAAAGACATTTGATGAGCTCAGTCTCAACATAGTTGTCAGACTGTGTCACCACCCTGAGGAGAGACAGCCCTCCCACCAATTTATACCCATCAGTCTGCACCCACCATGCTTACCCCAAAGAAATAAGTTGTTAATGGTAGAGAACAAGGCACTGATAATGAAGTTATTATGGGGTAGCAATTTGTTGTTGTTGTTGTTGTTGTTATGTGCCGTCAAGTCAGCCTTGACTCATAGCGACCCCTCCTTGGGTTTCTGAGGCAGTATCACTACGGAAGTAGGATTGCCCAACCTTCCTTCCGAGGAGTGGCTGATGGGTTTGAACCGCCAGCGTTCTGGTTAGCAGTCAAGTGCCTTAGCCACTATGCTACCAGAGCTCCTCTCTTACCAATAGGGACCTGGAATTATACTCCTGGGCCCTTTCTGGGAAGTTAGGAGGGCAGGACCTACTCTTGAAGTCAGGAGGAGTAGGTATTTTTCTTTTTGTCTCTTAATTGCTTCATGTGTCCAGACTAACAAGGGTGTGGGCAGGAGTGTGTTGGGGGAGGTGGGGGGTGAAGTGGGAGGAGTTAGTGCACTGTCCTGAGAGCCTTGAGCACCAGAGGCTGAGGGATTTCATCAGGTCAGGTATAGGGAGATGTTGTAACTGAATGTGTTATTTTCCTAGAGTGTTTGCATTTTTACAAAGTACATGGGTCAGGTTGATGCTTAACACCAACAGAGTGAGTGATGTCATTTCAGGAATTCTTTCAACCCCCTGTGAAGAGTACTAAATAAGTATAGGTCAATAGTTCCTACAAGGGCTATTGAATATGCTGGGCAACTTCACACCTCCATGCCCTTGCCTGTATTCCTTGTTCTGCCTGTAAAGCCTGCCCACATCTGCCTGGAGACTTGGCTCTGGAGTCAATCTTCTTGGGACCTTTCCTGATCCTCTCACCTCCCAGGCAAACCTGACCACTCTCTACTTTGTACCCTGAGGGCACTATGTACAGACATTTTCATAGTACTAGCAATACTTTATGTGTAACTATTTTCCTCTACACTGTGTATCATATGCTGCTAGGGACTGTGTCTTATTCATCTTTCTATCTCTGATGCTGGGTACATAGTACAGTAGGTGCTTAATAAATACGAAACAAATGAATGAAAGTATAAAGAATTAATAAATGAGTGGTGGATATGTCATTATGATTGTGTCAAGGAGCAAGCCTCCCAGATCTGACCTACCCAGAATGAGAGGGCATCTGTCAGAGGCCACGGAAAAGACAATCTTCCTTCTGGCCCTTACAGTGCTACACTGTGGCTCAGGTATGGGGTAACCAGGGGAAGGGCTGTATGTGTACCTGTAGTACTGTTCTTCTATCCTTAGGGTGGCCTTTAGATAAGTCCCTATATAACACTTTTCTGAAAATATTACCTGGGGATGGAAAATTAGGCTGAGAGTTGTGCGATCAGAGGGCATTTGGTATCTGTCTGCTGGAATGATTCTACCTCTCTTCACTGCTGAGCTCATCCTAGGACACCTCCAAAACTGGCCCTGACCTTGCTTCCCCAGGAAGACTTCTTCAGGGACTTCCTTTAGCCCCTATAGGGTATACCCCAACATGCTCCCCAGCAAGCCATACTATCACCATCACCTAAATGTTGGACACCTAATCCTTGAGTTTCATCAACCTGGAAGATGATTAATGTGGAAGAAGCAGATGAAGCAGAGGGAGGGATGTGATGCTCTTGAATGACGTCTTAATATAACCTGCTATATACTATTAGATGAGAATCTCCTCAATGACCTGCCACATGCCCAGTGACTAGTTAATATGCTTCCCAACCCATTTGAAGCTTTAATTCTTCTGACCACTCCTTCCTTTTGAAATTTTACAAAAGAGGTTCTTTTTACATTCATCAGTTTATACACATTTTATCTTGTGACACTGGTTACCTTCCCTGCAGTGTTCTGTCTCCCTGGTTGCCATTAGACTTTACTCCTTGGTCTACCTCCTTTCTCTCTGGACATTTCTGCTCATACCTTTCTGGACTTCTTCCTCTGCCGTATCCTGGATTCTTGCTGTGCCCTGGGTTCTGAGGTAGTCTTCTCATTTTAATCAGCCTTATCCTTTCATAAGGAGCTCTGGTGGCACAGGGAAGAAGACAAGGAGGCAGGAAGGACACAAGGAAAGGGTAGCCACAAGGAGGAAGTGGGAGGAGAGCTGTTACACTGCAGGGAAGGTAACCAGTGTCACAAGATAAAATGTGTATAAACTGATGAATGTAAAAAGAACCTCTTTTGTAAAATTTCACCCAAATCACAATAAAGAGTTAAAAAAAAAAAGGGAAAGGAAGAGAAGACAGAAATGGATGTCAGAAGAGACTCTGAAACTTGCTCTTGAACAAAGAGTAGCTAAAGTGAATGGAAGAAATGATGAAGTAAAAGGATTGAACAGAAGATTCGAAAGAGTGGCTCGAGAAAACAAAGTGAAGTGTTATAATGAACTGTGCACAAAGACTTGGAGTTGGAAAAATCTAAGGGGAAAAACACACTCTATTTCTCAAATTGAAAGAACCAAAGAAAAATTTCAAGCTTCTAGTTGCAACATTGAAGGATTCAATGAGCAAAATATTGAACAACTCAGGAAGCATTAAAAGAGTCACTGTACCAAAAATAATTGGTCGACATTCAACCATTTCAAGATGTAGCATATGATCAAGAACCAATGGTATTGAAGGAAGAAGTCCAAGCTGCACTGAAGGAACTGGAAAAAAACAAGGATCCAGGAACTGACAGAATACCCATCAAGATGTTTTAAAAACAGATGCAACACTGGAAGCACTCACTAATCTATGCCAAGCAATTTGGGAGATAGCTACTTGGCCAACTGACTGAAAGAGATCCAGATTTGTGCCCATTCCAAAAAGGTGATCCAACAGAATGTGGAAATTATTGATCAGTATTGTTAATATCACACTTAAATGAAATTTTGCTAAAAATAATTTTTAAAAATAGTTGTAGCAGTGCATAGACAGGGAACAGCCATAAGTTTAAGATTCATAAATTCAAAAGATTCAGAAGAGGATGTGGAACAAGGGATATCACTGCTGATATCAGATGTATCTTGGCTGAAAGCAAAGAACAGCAGAAAGATGTTTATCTGTATATTTAACTATGCAAAGGCATTGGACTGTGTGGATCGTAACAGATTATGGATAACATTGAAAAGAATGGGAATTCCAGAACGCTTAATTGTGCTTGGGAAGAACTGTACATATCAAAAGGCAGTTGTTTGAATAAAACAAGGGGATATACTACATGGGGCTCCAATGATGGGCTCAGGCATAGCAGCAATTGTGAGGATGGAGCAGGACCGAGCAGTGTTTCGTACTAATGTACATAGAGGGTCACTATGAATTGGAGCTGACTTGGCAGCACCTAACACCACCACTAAACATGGTTTAAAATCAGGAAAAGTTTATGTTAGGGTTGTATCCTTTCACCATACTTATTCAGTCTGTGTACTGAGCAATTTGCTTGCTGAAAGTGAGGATGACTTCAGGCACTTACTGATGAAGGTTGAAGAATACAATCTGCAGTATGGATTACGTCTGAATATAGAAGAAAACAAAAGTCCTCACAACTGGACCAATGAGCAGCATCACAATAAATGGAGAGAAGATTGAGGTTGTCAAAGAATTCACATTGCTTGGTTGTACAATCGATGCCAATGGAAGCAGCAGTCAGGACATTAGACGACATATAGCATTGGGAAGGTCAACCGTGAAGGAACTGTTTCAAGTGCTGAGGAGCAAGGATGTCTCCTTGTGGACTAAGGTGCGCCTGACACAAGCCATGATATTTCCAATCGCCTCATATGCATGTGAGAGCTAGACAATGAATAAGGAAGACCGAAGAAGAGTTGATGCTTTTGAGCTGTGGTGCTGGTGAAGAATGCTGAAAGTACCATGGACTGCTAAAACAACTAACAGATCTGTCCTGGAGGAAGTGCACCCAAAATGCTCCTTGGAAGCGAGAATGGCCAGACTTCATCTCACCTATTTTGGTCATGTTGTCAGAGGGACCATGCTTGGAGACGGGTGTCATGCTTGGTAAGGTGGGGGGTCGACAAAAGAGGGGGAGGCCTTTAACGAGATGGATTGACACAGTGGCTGTGATGATGAGCTCAAGTATAGCAGGGATTGTGGAGCTAGTGCGGCATCAGGCAGTGTTTCGTTCTGCTGTGCATGGGGTCGCTGTGAGTCGGAAACGACTTGACGGCACCTAACAACATATCAAGCAAGTAATCTGAGAAGATAGACTACATGAAGAACGTGATGTCAGAGTTGGAGAAAGACTCATTAACAACCTGTGATATGTAGATGACACAACCTTGCTTGCTGAAAGTGAAAAAGACTTGAAGCACTTATTAATGATGATAAAAGACTACAGCCTTCAGTATGGATTACACTTCAGCATAAAGAAAACAAAAACCCTCACAACTGGACCAATAAGCAAAATCACGATAAATGCAGAAAAGATTAAAGTTGTC